TTTTTAGGCAGAACTGATGGAATTTAAACTGTTTTTAGGCAGAACTGATGGAATTTAAACTGTTTTTAGGCAGAACTGATGGAATTTAAACTGTTTTTAGGCAGAACTGATGGAATTTAAACTGTTTTTAGGCAGAACTGATGGAATTTAAACTGTTTTTAGGCAGAACTGATGGAATTTAAACTGTTTTTAGGCAGAACTGATGGAATTTAAACTGTTTTTAGGCAGAACTGATGGAATTTAAACTGTTTTCCGCCATTGCTGACTTTTATCCCAGAGGCTGCCATGTGGGATTGTTCCCTCTTCTGGTCTGGACTCCCTCTTCCTATTATGTTGGGCCTGTGAGGCCCAAATCAGCTTTGTTTGTTCTGATGGGCCTTGGGCTGGATGTGTCAATTTTTGGCCCAAACACTATTTAAACTCCACACTTTTCTTTGTTTACCCAATACTTAAATCATTAAGCTACATACACACCCCAACAGGGGCTGCCCAAATGTTTGTTAAAAAAATATTACCTACACTATATATGTCCAACCCACTTAAATTAAACCTATACAAACCTTTGTTTTTTTCTTTTCCTTCTCTCCTCTCTCTTTTCTTTCGATCCTTTCCTTCTCCCTTCTCTCCCTCTTCTTTTTTTCTTCTTCTTTCTTTTCCTTCTCTCATCTCCCCTCTTTTTTTCTTTTTTCTTTTTTCGTTCTTTTCCTTCTCTCTTCTCTCCTCTCTCTCTTTTTGTCTTTCTTTTCTAATTAAATTAAAATTATTATTAAATTTTTTTTTGTCTCGCACAAACCCCAAGCCTTGCCAATAATTTTTTTTTGTCTTGCACAAAGATAGTTGTTTCAAAAATTACGGAACATGATTGATAGGGTTGTGGAGCTCAAGGAGGAAAGCCAGAAACGGGTGTCATAATGGACCTCTATAAAAAGAAACAAAAGGAGAAAAGAGGTCACAAATTTATAAATATTAAAATAAAATAAGACCCTAGCTCCGTCAATTTTCTTCTGTAACACCCCGGCTCCAATTATTTCCTATTTTAATTTAATTAAGAGAAATTATTAATTTACTTTTGGGTTAAGGGTAATTTTGGTCAATATCTTATCCGGGAAGATTTTGGGACCACGAGTGGTTTGGTTGCGTAGGTGGTACTGAGACGAAACCGTAGACAGGCGGTAGGCTTGAATCGGAGATTTAACGAAGTTTTGGCGATCAAAATACGTTCGGTGGCGGAACCGTAAATATTTTGAAGGGTTTAGTAAAAATCAGTATTTTTCCAATTTTTACCTCACTCTCTCTCTCTCTCTCCCGCGTCTTCTCCTCCCTCTGCGATTTCCCTTCCGTTTCTCTCTCCCCGACTCTCTCTTTCTCTCTCTTCAATTCTCTCAGCTCCGACAACGGGAAGGGCCGGCACCGGTCCCATTGGATTCGTCTCGAAGCCCCGATCACAACCCACCCCATTTCCCCGCCGGAAAACCCGCTCCCAGCA